TTTTAGGCAGCACATGTTCTACAGTGCAATATATATATATATATAGCAAAGAAGTGGTGAGTGGGAGATCCTGGAGGTTACTTCTGGGGAGGACAAATGGGCAGAGGAGATGGGGAAGCTTGTGGTTACCGTTAAATGGAGGAGGTTACATCATGGTATACTTCATGGTGGCTGCATTATTGAAAACAGGAAGGGAGGGAGAGGCCTCGCGTGGACCAACGATCACAGTGTGAGGGCGCCACGAACCGAGGATGATGACTCATGTGTGCACTTCAGGCCAAAGAGAACGTACAAGTTGGTGTATCCACTTTGAACCTTGGTTTTGGACACTTTTCCAAAGCCTGCTGGCTCCTGCGCGGGGACCAAGGGAGGAGCTGCCCCCCGCTGGCCGCCAGAGGGCGCGCGCCGCTAGGGGAGGGCGCGGCCGCCACCTGCGCCTGGGGGTTTTGTTTTTGCAAAAGGAAAGCTGAGCCCAGCTGGGAGCTGTGGCAGCGCCCCAACAGGCGTGGCTGCTGGCAGGAGATCCCGGGGCTCCCCAGGGAGTGTCCCCCCCACCCCAAGCCCTCGCGCCCGCCCCGGGGTTTCAGAGGAAGCAGCTGCCCGCCCCGCAGAGCCTCTGTGCGCTCCTGGCCTTGGCCCCGGTTTCCTGCCGCGCGCCCCCATCTCCCCCGAGGCTCGCTGGCTGCATCTACTCCCCGCGCCGGCTTGGTCGGTACCTTTAAAAGGTTTATTTGACCCCCGCCGGCGTGGCTCAGCGGTTGAGCGTGGACTATGAACCAGGAGGTCACTGAGCCGAGTTGCAGGCTCAGTCCCCAGGGTGGGGCATGCAGGAAGCAGCCAATGATTCTCTATCATCATTGATGGTTCTCTCTCTGAAATACATTTCAAATATATATATGTTTTTAAAAAGTTTATTTGGCCGAAACCGGTTTGGCTCAGTGGATAGAGCGTCAGCCTGCGGACTGAAAGGTCCCAGGTTCGATTCCGGTCAAGGGCATGTACCTTGGTGGCGGGCACATCCCCAGTAGGGGGTTTTGTGCAGGAGGCAGCTGGAGCTGGTTGATGTGTCTCTCTCATCGATGTTTCTGGCTCTCTATGCCTCTCCCTTCCTCTCTGTGAAAAATCAATAAAATATATTTTTAAAAAAGTTTATTTGGCAACACTTAAAAATCAGGAAATGGTTAGCCTAAAAGTCCTGATTTCCCTTTCTCTCAGGGTGCTGCCGTCCCCTCCCGGCCCTCATGCTGGCTGTCATCGCTGCCCAGGAGTGAGCGAGCGAGCCCCATGGCACACTTCCCACCACAGCACTCCGTTCCTGCACAACTCTGCGTGGGGCTAACCAGGGTCCTCTAAAAAATGTGCATAACTTTCTCCGCACACTGAAGAGTGTAATGAAACCCAAGCGATACAAGTGGCTTCAACCTCCTTGCAAGGTGCGGAGGTGCCAGGTGAGCTCAGGGCGGTGGGTGGCCCTGAGGATGCCCCTCTGTCCCGCCTGCTCTGCCCCGGGCAGTGCCCTGCCCATGCCCCTGCCCAGCAGCCCGCCGGCAGCTCCTTCCATCGAGTTAGGGGCTTCCTCGTGTGTGCCTTTTCCACGCAGAGAAATCCCCCTTTTCAATCTTAATCCTGTGTGAGACTCCATATCAAACAGGAAATAGGATATCGATACAAAGCATCCATTTACTTATTATAAAAGCCAGTTCCTAAAAACGGAGGGTTAGTTGGAAAAGCCCAGTTTGGAGTAAGGAGCTAGTGGGGCTGTAGCCTCTTCGGCCTCATCCTGCTGCTTTTTCTTTCTTTCTTTTTATAAAATATATTTTATTGATTTTTTTTACAGAGAGGAAGAGACAGGGATAGAGTTGGAAACACTGATGGGAAACATGGATGAGGCGCCTCCTGCATCAACCAGCTGCCTCCTGCACAGCCCCTACTGGGGATGTGCCCGCAACCAAGGTACATGCCCTTGACCGGAATCGAACCTGGGGCCTTTCAGTCCGCAGACCGACGTTCTATCCACTGAGCCAGACCGGTTAGGGCCCCGCTGCTTTTTCTTTCCTTTCCTTTCTTTTTTTTCTTTTAAATTTCTTTATTGATTAAGATATTACATGTGTTATTCCCCCCAATACTCCCCACCTCCCATTCATGCCCCCACCTCCTTGTTGTCTGTGTTCACTGATCAACCAAGGACTTCCCTGATGTTTCTCTCTCTCTGGGTCTGTTTTTAATTGTGCAGGACGGAGAGGCCCCGGCTTGCCTGGGAGGAGCTGGGAGGCGCTTCAGCAGCTGCAGGCCACAGGCAGGGCTCCGAGGCCACCGGAGGCGAGGGCGTGGCTCCATGTTGCCGTTGGCTGCTGATGACAGCCGTGTGCGTGTTGTAGGTGCTGCCGGATGTGGTGCACATAAAACCAGGTACCTGTGAGGCCCCCACCCCACCCCAAAGCGCCGAGCTCATAGGATGCAGGTCAGAAACCGCCCCACGGGGAAGTGGCGGTTGCCGAGGGCCCCAAACCAGCTGTGTTTCCCTGGCGACACCAGTTTGCTTTTCATGCTGGTAAGAGGCTGGGCAGCCGGGCCCAGGGGATGGGCCACGCTGGGTCACCGAGCATCCCCCCCACCAGAGGCCCAGGACTGGAGTGCGTCAAGCCAGGGCCGGCGGCCCACGGAGGAAGCCAGGCAGCGCCAGCCCTGCCCTGACCCTCCAGGGGCCCCCGGTGGAGTGAGCCCAAGAGACACCAGACTTGGACTTACATTTCAGCTCTGTCACGTACCTCACATCACCCCAGCTTTCTCCTCGTCTCCAACTCCACTGCTGGGTCACTCAGGGTGCAGGTGCTTCCCCTCAGGCCCTCAGAGGCAGGGGCAGGCAGCCCTGGGCAGTGGGCTCCAGTGGTTAGAGCGTCAGCCCATGCTGAGGGTTGCGAGTTCAATTCCTGGTCAAGAGCATGTGTCTGGGTTGCAAGTTGGATCCCATCCGTCGGGGTGCATGGGGGAGGCAACCAATTGATTCCTCTCTCTCTCTCTCACATCGGTGTTTCTGTCTACCTTCCACTCTAAAAATCAGTGGAGCCCAATGGCGTGGCTCAGTGGGTGGGCATCGACCTATGAACCAGGAGGTCATGGTTCGATTTCCAGTCAGAGCACATGCCTGGGCTGCGGGCTCCATCCCCAGTGTGGGGCGTGCTGGAGGCAGCCGATCCATGATTCTCTCTCAATGTTGATGTTTCTCTCTCTCCTAGTCCCATCCCCTCTGAAATGAATAAAAATATGCACTGAGTGTCCAGATTACTATGATCTCTGAACACATAATAATCTGGCCACTCAGTGTATATCCTATATAATAAACAGCTAATATGCAAATTGTCCCCTCTACTGGAAGTTCGGCCAGCAGGCAGGCCCGTCAACTGCCCATGTCCCCTCCCCCTGGCCAGGCTGGCTGGGCCCCACCCATGCACGAAATCATGCACTGGGCCTCTAATATATATATATATACACTGAGTGGCCAGATTGTTATCTCTGAGCGCATAATAATCTGGCCACTCAGTGTATCTACACAACAGACTTACCATTTTAACATTTTTCAGGTACACAGTGCAGTGGCATTAGTGACATTTACATGATGGTGCCCCACCACCACTGTCCACCTCCAGAATGTTTTCATCTTTCCAAATGGAAACGGTACCCATTAAACACGGAGTCTCTATTCCCCTAGCCCCAGACCTGGCCACCGCCATCCTCCTGTCTGTCTCTGCATCTTCTCTGCTCCAGGCCCCTCCCGGGAGGGACTCGGACAGCAGCTGTTGCTTTGTGTCTGGGCTATTGCACACCACAGAGTGTCTCTCAGAGTCATCCCCGGGGTGGACGTGCCAGAATGCCCCTGCTGCTTTGAGTCCTACTGTGTGCCTTTCGTGAACAGTACCAATTCCACCCCTGAAATCAACTTACTTTGAAAACATGCAGATCTCGAGAGGCCACTGAGCTCTGCATCCTTTCCTGGTCTCACCCCCGGGCCTGCTCTCCGAGCATCTCTCCCCGAGCCTCGAGGGCCCCTCACGCCGCTCCTGGTTTTACCACCTTCACATCGACGGGATCCTACGCCGTGTGGTCTTTTGAGACGGGTGCCCATCCCGCTAGCATATCCTTCTGGCTTAATAAGAAATCCTTCTTGCCCTGGCCAGTTTGGCTCAGTGGATAGAGCTTCAGCCTTCGGACTCAAGGGTCCCAGGTTCGATTCCGGTCAAGGGCATGTACCTGGGTGGCGGGCACATCCCCAGTAGGGAGTGTGCAGGAGGCAGCTGATCGATGATTCTCTCTCATCGATGTTTCCAACTCTATCCCTCTCCCTTCCTCTGTAAAAAATCAATAAAATTAAAAAAAAATATATATATATATAAAGAAATCCTTCTGCAATTGGCCAAGTCAATATTTTATTTTAAAAAAACACACAAAAAACCACACACAGGCGCGCACACACACACACACACACACACGCACACGCACGCGCACACACACGCACACACGAAGGCAGAGCCGGGAAAGGAGGCTGAGATCGCGTCTTTGGGGTCAGGCTGACCACCGTGTGCTTCTCTCCACAGGTTGGCCTCACGCGAGGGAAGAGCAGATGCCAGGCTCCATAGACCAGGAGAGGGCTTGGTCTTCACGGGGAGACTGAAGGCGGGTGGCTCCGGCGAGGAGTGGGGTTTGTGCCGGCGTCTCCGGAAACCTCCCCGCCGGGGGAGGTGCGGTGGCCAGACTCGGCCTGAAGAGCAGGAGGCGAGGCCAGATCTCCCCGGAGGCTGCTTTTCGTTCCCGGACCAGGAGGATCTTCTCCGAGGAAGACCGGGGGAGAGGCCGGAGCCGGTCAGGAGCCCCGGCGGGGAGAGCAGGCCCTCCCGCGCCCACCACCGGCAGGCAGGGCGTTGGCACAGGCACAGGTTCGGAGGTCTCTCCGGAGGTCACCGGCCCCGGGCCTGCTGCCGGCGGGCCACACGTCCTGCGGGGCCTCAGACGGCTGCATCTGGGAAGGAAGAGGCAACGTGAGGCCGGCCGGCCGTGGCAGGGCCCACCCAGAAGTCACACACCAGCCGGTGGGTGACCCACATTCCGCTCGGGGCACTGCCTTCCTCCCCCAGCACCAGCGTTCACTGGGGCTATTTTATTGTCTAAATGCATCTCAAAAAAAAAAAAAAAATTAGCTCTAACCGGCTTGGCTCTGTGGATAGAGCGTCGGTCTGCGGACTGAAAGGTCCCAGATTCCATTCCGGTCAAGGGCATGTACCTTGGTTGCGGGCACATCCCCAGTGGGGAGTGTGCAGGAGGCAGCTGGTCGATGTTTCTCTCTCATCCATGTTTCTAGCTCTCTATCCCTCTCCCTTCCTCTCTGTACAAAATCCATTTAAAAAAATATATTTATAAAAAAGGAAAATGCTTCTCTATCAGAGGCTGGCACGTTGGGGCATTCCTGGGCGCGATGGGCATGGCCCGAGCAGAGGTCCCGGGTGCCGGTGCCCTGGCGGCCTCCACTACAGACAGCAGCCTGTGACGTGTCGGGAAGGCGGGAACAGGCTGTGCTCCGGCCCTGAGCTCACGGAGAGCACCCGTGTCCGGACGATCAGCACTCACCGGTGGACTGGGTCACACAGGAGACCTTGTAGGACAGCCACACGCTGGCCAGGCAGAGGAAGGTGGCCAGGAAGCCGAAGATCTGCACGGGAGAGAGGGGACAGGGAGCTCCGGTCAGGGGCCAGCCCCCGGCAGTCTTTCTGCTCCCCATCTCCGTGCCTGTCCCTGCACGGGCTGTGGCGGGGAGGGAGCTCGGGGAACCCCCTGACCCAAACACCCAGCCCTGGCTCAGGGGGAGGGCCAGGCCCTGTGCCCAGGGCTCCGGGCTGGGACCCAGGTCTCCACCCCTCCCTCCGCCCTCCTCACTCTGGGCAAATTCCGTGCCCACGTTCAGGTTTGTTTCAGCTGAACTGGGCCAAGCCACTGGGCTTTAGTGATCCTGGGCCAGCGGTCGGCAAACTGCGGCTCGCGAGCCACACGCGGCTCTTTGGCCCCTTGAGTGTGGCTCTTCCACAAAATACCACGGCCTGGGAGAGTCTATTTTGAAGAAGTGGCATTAGAAGACGTTTAAGTTTAAAAAAAATTGGCTCTCAGCCCAGCCAGGTGTGGCTCAGCGGTTGAGCATCAACCCAGGAACCACGAGGTCACTGGTTCGATTCCCGGTCAGGGCATATGCCCGGGTTGCGGGTTCCATCCCCAGTTCAGGGTGTGCAGGAGGCAGCCAATCAATGATTCTCTTTCATCACTGATGTTTCTATCTCTCTCTCCCTCTCCCTTCCTCTCTGAAATCAATAAAAATATATTTTTTAAAACTTTGGCTCTCAAAAGAAATGTCAATCGCTGTCCTGTTGATATTTGGCTTCTGTGGACTGAAGAGCTTGCGGACCACTGTCCTGGGCTAACGAGGAAAGACAAAGGCGGGATTGTGCATTCTAACGTAGGTTTTAAAACGTGTGATGGTCAAATGGATTCTATTGGTGCGACAGCACCGCTTGCATTTCATTCGTGACGGTGTCTGCCTGGCCTCGGAGCTGGGGGAGGGTGAGAAGCAGGAGCACATGCTGGTGTCCCGCCTGGAACCGCAGAGCCCAAAGCCCCAAACCTGGCAGCTGGGCTGGTTTACGGGGCCCTCACTCTGTGCCCACCCGTCTTCCAACGCTGCCAGGTGGGTCCCGGGGGGATCCTCTCGGCCCCTCACTTTGCAGCTGAAGAAATGGAGGGATGGAGGTGGGGTGTGGGGGTCAACGCTTCGCCCAGGGCCACGGAGACAGTAAGGGCCAGACCCGGGACTGGGGCCCAGGGCGTCTGGCTCCAGGGTCCGCACGCCGCTCTGCCCGTGGCCCAGCTGTCCTCAGGCTGCTCTGCAGCCGCCAAGGGCCCTCGGGAACCACCGCTGCCGTCTGGGACAGCGGTCGGCAAACTCATCAGTCCACAGAGCCAAATATCAACAGCACGACGATTGAAATTTCTTTGGAGAGCCACATGTTTTACACTTAAATGTCTTCTTCTTCTTCTTTTTTTAAAAAAAAATATATTTTATTGATTTTTTCAGAGAGGAGGAGAGAGGGATAGAGAGAGAAACATCGACCAGCTGCCTCTTGCACACCCCCTACCGGGGATGTGCCCACAACCAATGTACATGCCCTTGACCGGAATCGAACCTGGGACCTTTCAGTCCGCAGACGACGCTCTACCACTGAGCCAAACCGGTTTCGGCTACACTTAAACTTCTTGTAACGCCACTTCTTCAAAACAGACTCGCCCAAACCATGGTATTTTGTGAAAGAGCCACACCCAAGGAGCCAAAGAGCCGCGTGTGGCTCTCAAGCTGCAGTTTGCCCACCACAGGTCCAGGAGGAAGGGCAGGATCTTCAAGGCTGGGCTTTCTCTTCAAGCCTGGCTGCTGGTGTGCATGAGGGGCTGCCCCCTGCCCCGCCCCCACCCCCCACAGGCCCACACACCCTCTCCCCGCCCCCCAGCTCCGTCCCCTTGGCTCCTCTGGTACCGATTGTCTGCGCCACACAATCGGCCCCTTGGAGCCGGTCCCGGCCTCTCGGCGTCGGCTCTGCACCAGGAGCACATTGTCTCCCACCCTGACCTCCCACCATCTGCACTGCGTGACCGACAGCTTCTTCCGTGGCCACAGAGGGCCCTCTGGGGGGCAGGGCCTCGTCTGCGGACTGTCCCACGTGCCTCGGCCTGGATGCCTGAGCGACATCACTACTCTCTCCCATGAGCAAGGGCCCTACCTTCTTATTTCTTCCACAGAATTGGGTCTGGTCCTCGACACAGAGACGGCGTGTGATAAATTGGGGGGGGGGGGGGGGAAGAGGAGGGATGGGGATACCAGGGGAGGGATGGGGATGTCAGGGCTAACACCATTTGGTGCAACCTGAAGCCTACAACCTGTGGGCATCTCCCCATGGGGCCTGACGCAGTGGGCACAACTTCTCTTCGTGCCTCCTCCCCCGGCCTGCCTGCAGGTGGAGCCCCGGGGGTGGCAGGAGACTGCAGGAGGGGGTCCTGAGGGGTTACAAGGTGGTGGAGGGGAGGGAGGGCTGTGGGCGGCCCTTGAGGGGGCAATGGTGTTTGGAGGCGTGACCTCCTGCCCCATGCCAACCTTTCGAGGGCACACCCGGCCCCTCCGTGGGATTCCAGGAGCGAACCCACTCTTGGCCCAAAGCCTGGGGGATTTTGGCGAAGCCTGCCCACGGGAGAGCGGCTGTCACGCTGACAGCTTTCGTTCTAAAAGTCTCGCTCCTTGGTGAGGCAAATCGGTACTGGCCCACAGGCCAGCAAGCGGAAGAGAATTCACTAAACCAGAAATCGTATAACAGGATCTGTAAACAGTGACAGCATACCCGTACGTACACGGGTACATGCGCGTGTATTTGTGCGGTGGGTATAAGTGGATGCCACAGCATTGCAGTTTTGTCTGTTTCCAGGCTACCTCTATTGAGGCTCTCCGAGGGGTCTGTTGCACCTTTGAAAGGGACAGGAGGTAGGGGAACAGGTTGGGGCTAAGGGGAAGAGATCAACCAAAGGACTTGTTGGGCCTAGCCAGTGGCCATGGACAACGGGGGGTGGGGGGTGGGTGGGGGGGCATCTGTGGGGAGGGGTTTGGGATGGGAATGGGGGGGGATGAGGACAATTATGTGATATCATAATCAATAAAAAATAAATAAAAATAATAAAAATAAATGAATTCTCAGAGCTTAAGAAAGAAAAGGACAGGAGGACTCCTTCCTGGCCTGGATGCGGCTAAACGTTAGGACTGATAAAGCTAGGACCGACGGCCGACCTCACCAGCAGATCTCAGTGCTGCTCCCTCGGGCCCACGAGGCTCCAGACCATTTCCCGGGACACGGGGGGCCGAGGCAGCCCCGAGCACACGGCCACCCTGGACGCGTGGTTTCAAGTCCACGTGCTTCCCGACGTAAGTGGCGGCTGCGAGAGAGGGGCCCGGGCCGCTGGGGCGATCGGCGTAAGGTGACCAGACGTCCCGCTTTTGGCAGGACAGTCCCGATTTTTAACAATGTGTCCCGCGGCGTTTTAAAAAAGTCCCGATTTTTCCCAAAAAATCGGGACTTTTTTAAAACGCCGCGGGACGCGGGACACGTTGTTAAAAATCGGGACTGTCCGTCCAGTCACCTTAGATTGGTGTGCCCACAGCCCTGGTGATTCACCTCCCGGGACCCTCGGTGGAAGCCTCATTGGAGCCCAGGCTGGCTGGACCGAGGTGGGTACCGATGCCGAGAGAGAAGGCCCCGGAGAACAATCCCCCCACCGCTGTCCCCGTCAAGAAGGAGACGCGCTCGGACAGCATGGATCCTCACCGAGGCGGCCACCAGCTCGCTCTGGCTGTAGCTCTTGGAGGCGGCCACGATGGAGGCGATGAGGAGGAGCAGGGTGCCGATTAGATAGTGCAGGAGCTCCTGGGGGCGAAAACAGAGCAGAGCCGTGGGTCGGGGGGGCCTCCGGGCGTCCGAAGAGATGGACAGAGGGGAAGGGGGTGTAACGCCCCAAAGACCACAGCCAACGGATGCATCAGGTGGCCAGGAGGATGCATGAAGCCAGGATGCGGCCGAGCAAGAGAGAAAAGGTGCCAGGCAGGCAGGGAGGAAGGGGACAGAGAGAAAGGATGGAGACAGGACGGAAACCCACTCCAGGCTGCTCCGCCCCGGAGACCAGCCTGCAGACTGCGCCTTTACCTCTGGCCAAAGCTGCTACAGAGCACCGAGGCGTCTCCCAGCACCCGGGCTGGAGAGCATGAGCAAAGCTCCGGCCCCGAGAATCGGGGCCCCTGACAGAGACGGGTGCCTTTTGCTTCTGCCTTAGAGAATGTTTCGGGCTCACAGGGTGCTGGGGCTGGGGGCTGCCTGTCCTGTGAACCGTTTTTTTGTTTTGTTTTGTTTTTTTAAATATGTTATTGATTTTTTTACAGAGAGGAAGGGAGAAGGATAGAGGTAGAAACATTGAGAGAGAGAAACATCAATCAGCTGCCTCCTGCACACTCCTACTGGGGATATGCCCGCAACCAAGGTACATGCCCTTGATGGGAATCAAACTGGGACCCTTCAGTCCGAAGGCCCATGCTCTATCCACTGAGCTGCACCGGAGTCAGGGCCTGGAGTGTGGTCCCCGGCCCCTTTGCGAAAGGCTTGGGCGTGTGGTGGGCGCCGGCACTCTCACTCCTCACTAAGAACCTCTGGCTTTGTCTGTTCTTTGTCTTCCCTCTTCTCTCCTCTCCAGAAGCGAACCTGAGGCCAAGCTCCGGAGGCAAGTCTCCTGGTGGGACTGACTCCGCCCCCAGGCCCACAGGGCTGTCTGTCACCCTCCCGGATTAGGATGTCCTTCAGCGGCATGGGAGCACTTGTACCTCTTCCTCCTTCCTCCCCAGTAGATTCCAGGTCGGAGCACAACTGGGGTTCAAGGGCATTCGTCACCCTCACTCTGAATCCAGAGTGTGTGTGTGCATTTGCTGTCTTCAGCGAGAGCTCAGAGAGGATTTCTCCGTGAAGGTCTGCCCATCAGGGCGGGCGGCGGCTGCTCAGTGCTGGGCAAGCATTCCCCTTTCAGCTCCTGTCAAAGCCGAGCAAAACCAAAGACCCCGACTTCTCCCCGAGCGACGAGAAAGGAGGATCGCAAGGTGGGCCACAGAGATTCCGGCCAAGCGCAGATCAGTAACTGGAGGTTCCCTACGCCACGATTCTCCGGGGAAAAGGACTTGAGAGTCCTAAAGGGAAGGTGCCAACTTGCACTGGGCTAAAAAAAAATGGGTGGCTGATGTATCCTTCCAACACGAACTCCCCTTTCAGCTATCCTCATTCTTCTCCCCAGCCGTTATTCTCCCCTTTGCTTGCTCCTGTGAGTATGAGGGAAGCCCAGAGGAGCTTGCTCTCAAAAGCAGCGAAAAGGTGCCTTTGAAAGGGGCCTTACAACTTAGGAACAAAAGGAATTTCTCTTAAAATGTGAACGATTAAACAATTCAACCAAGAAGCAGAGGTTGTCAGAATAGATTTTTAAAAAAAAAAAAATCCAACTACAGGCTTTTCTCTATAGGAGACACACTTTATAGTCAAAAGATACAAATAGGCTGGAAGTAAAGGATGGAAAAGACGTGTGATTCAAACGCCAACCAAAAGAAAGCTAGGGCGGCGATAGTTGTCCCAGACAAAGTAGGTTTTAAAACAAAAAAATGTTGCCAGAGATGAAAAGGGACATTTTTATAACGATGGAAGTGTTAATTCATCAGGAAAATAAATCAATTATAAACATGTGTGCACCTAATAACAGAGCAACAAAACACATGAAACAAAAACTCAAATAAATGGAGAAATAGATAATCCGGAAATAATAGCTGGAGGCTCCGATACCACATAATGTTGAACCAGCGAGAAAATCAACCAGGAAATAGAAGGCTCAAACAATACTACAGAACCACTAGACGTAACAGGCATCTATGAAACATTCTATCCAACAACAATAGACTATACATTCTTCTCAAACGCACATAAAACATTCTTCAGCACAGACCGTATGCCAAACCATAAAAACAACCCCACGAGAGGTAAAAGGACTGAAGTAATGGGAGGTGTGCTCTCCAGCTACAACGGAACGAAATTAGAAATCAATAGCAGGTAGACATTTGGGAAGCTCACAAATTTGTAGAAATCAAACAACACATTCCCTAACTCTGTGGTCGGCAAACTGCGGCTCGCGAGCCACAGGCGGCTCTTTGGCCCCTTGAATGTGGCTCTTCTTCCACAAAATACCATGGCCTGGGTGAGGCTGTTTTGAAGAAATGGCATTAGAAGTTTACGTTTAAAAAATTTGGCCCTCAAAAGAAGTTTCAATCGTTGTCCTGTTGATATTTGGCTCTGTTGACTAATGAGTTTGCCGACCATTTCCCTGACTGGGTCAAAGTGGAAATCACGAGGGAAATGAGAAACATACTTGGAGAGGAATGAAAATGAACCCCCAATCCACCCAACGTATGGGAGGCAGTGCTCAGAGAGCTGTAGCTGTCAATGCAAAAAAGAAGGAAGGCTTCCTATTTATAACCTAACCTTCACCTGAGGACACTGGACAAGACGAGCAGAGTAACCCTAACGCAAGAAGGATGCCGGGAAATAGCAAGTGCTGACAAGGACGCAGGAAAAACCTGGAGCCCGAATACATTGCTGATGGGCATGTGAACGGATGTGCCACTTTGGAAGACAGTCTGGCAGGTCCTGGGACCATTAAACAGAGTGACCCTGCGGCCCAGCAATTTCGCTCCGAGCTATATTCCCGAGGGAGTGACATCGTGCCCATACAAAAAACTTGCGCAGGAGTGTTCATGGCAGGAGTGTTACTTATAATAGCCACAAGGCAGAAACAGCCCAAGAGTCCACCAGGGATGAGCAGATGGGGTGTATCTGTTCGCTGGGATATTGCTTGGCTATTAGGAGAAGGAAAAGAAAAAAAGTACTGGACACACAATACAACGTAGATAAACCATGAGAACATCCTGCTAAGTGAAAGAAGCCAGCCACAGGAGACCATGCATAAGATCCCATTTTCAGGAAATACCCAGAATAGGAAAACTTACAGAGAAAGGAAGTACGTTAATGGTTGGTTGGGGCTGGAGGGGACGAGGGGTGGAAGGGGACAGTGAAAGGGCAGGGAGTGTCTTTTTGAGGTGATGAGGTGTTTCTAACATTGACTGGTGATGGCGGCACAGCTCTGGGAATGTACTAAAACCCAATGAATGATACGTTTAAAATGGGTAACGGTATGGCATGTGAACTACCTACCAGTAAAGCTGCTTTAAAAAACAATAGTGTGGGAAGAAACAACCCTGGCAACTTTGAAATCTTCCCTCAGACTCTGCCGGTCCATTTTAATTTTTAAATATATTTTGTTGATTTTTTACAGAGAGGAAGGGAGAGGGATAGAGAGCCAGAAACATCGATCAGCTGCTTCCTACACATTCCCCACTGGGCATGTGCCCGCAACCAAGGTACACGCCCCCAACCGGAATCGAACCTGGGACCCTTGAGTCCACAGGCCGACGCTCTAGCCGCTGAGCCAAACTAGTCAGAGGGCTCTGCCGGTCCATTTTAGCTGAAAAATGTTATCATTCAATACTCACAACTACGCATCATCGTTGTCAGCTCTTCCTTTCCTGTTCCTCCTCCCAACCCCCGCCCCTGCCCCCCACAGCCCAGTATCTGTCCCTTGAGAGGATAAACATTGGGGTGAGAGGCAGAGTTTTCCCGTAGCTGGAAGGTGCGTGTTAGAAAGCAGCGGGACCTCAGACAGAGATGTCCACCCAACAGTGGGACATTCAGGGCTGAAGCAGCAAAAGACGGTGCAAGAGGTGGGCTGGGTAGACGAGAGGGCTCGGGGGGTCTCAGGGCCCAGCTAACACCCCGACTCCGGGCCGAGGGCAGGGCCGGGCCGCCCCTTACCGACAGGGGCCAGCTGATGCAGGTGAGCACGCGGTAGAGGCGGAAGAGGTGGACCAGGTAGAAGGCGAGGATCATGATGAGGTTGCAGATGGTGACCACTTCGAAGTATCGGTAGGCGCTCTGGCCGAGCCACAGGGAGCTCCTCACACAGATGAAGGCGATCAGCAGGCTGACCTGGGACAGAAGCACAGACACCTCAGGGACGTGCCGCCAGGACGGGCGCCGGGAACGTACAGCGACAGCGTAACGGAAACACGAACCACCACCGGAAACCCAGGAACAGCTGCCGTTCAGGATGTTTTCCTACAAAGAGGAGGGATAAACTCTCTTTTTGTTGTTAATCCTCACCAGAGGATGTTTTACCATTCTCCCCCCCCCGAGAGTGGGAGCGAGAGAGAAACATCGATGGGAGACACATCGATGGGTTGCCTCCCACCTGTGCCCCAACCAGGACCGGGGATTGAACCTGCAGCAAAGGTACATGCCCTTGACCGGAATCAAACCTGGGACCCTTAGGTCCACAGGCCAAGCCGACGCTCTATCCACTGAGCCAAACCAGTGAGGGCTAAACTCTTCTTTTAAAAAAAGATTTTATTATTATTATTATTTTTTTTTAAATATTTTTCATTTTAGAGAGGAAAGGAGAGGGAAAGAGGGAAAGACACATCAATGATGAGTGAGAATCATTGATCGGCTGCCTCTTGCATGCCCCACACTGGGGATCGAACCCACAACCCTGGGCATGTGCCTTTGACTGGAATTGAACCCCGGACCCTTCAGTCCCCAGGCTCCATCCACTGAGCCAAACTGGCTAGGGCAGGATCTGTTTTATTTTATTATATTTTATTTTTATTTTTTTATTGTTTGAAGCATTACAAATAGTAGTACATATGTCTCCTTTTCTCCCCCCTTGTCCTCCCCACAGCCTCCCCTACCCCCCTGCATATGCCTTCACCTGCCCTCCCCCCCCCCCCCCGCCCTCCCCAATCAGAATCTGTTTTAAAAGGTCAACTTTCAGGACAAAACTTATTTTATTGCCCCTTCCCTACAGAACGGTGATTCTCAAAGGGTGTGTGCGTGGGGGGTGGGGGTGGAGGGGGGAGTGGGTTGTGACCTCTGGCCATGTCTGGAGACATGGTTGGCGGTCACACCTGCGGTGGGGGGTGCTATTGGCATCACGGGGTACAGGCACGGGTGCCGCTAACCAGCCCACCATGCACACCCAGGATGGTCCCCGGCCTCCCCCATGGCCCAGACCGTGGTGCTGCTGAGGAGGGACCTGCTGCAGGACAGGGGAGTCTGCAGAGAGAACGAAACCACAAGCACGGACCTAAAGCAGTCCCGGAGAAGCACGCCTGCCTTCGGAAGCCCCTCGTTCCCAGCTCACTCCCAGGCCCTCGGGAGCCGGCACGGCGGCCGGACGGGCCCCCTGGGCTTGCAGCCGGCGGTGCCCACGGAAAGGCTCTGCTCAACAGATCGGAGCAGAGGAGTGTGACTGAGGCCGAGGAGGGGCCCTCCCCGCTGGCCCAGTTCCCTTTGCTAATGAGCAACGTATTTTCATGTTCTCGGTTCCTCCCCAGCCGGCCGGCCTGTGGCGATAGGATGATTCACACCTCGAGGTTGTTTCAAGGCCCAGGGGAGGCTTGCCGGCCTCAGGAGCGTGCCTGCCAGCCAGGGCTTGGCTGTGTGGGTCCCCACGCCCAGATCTCCTCCACCTCTCAGTCCTGCACCGACACCCCCCCCCTCGGGGCTGGGGGGGGTTTATTCAAAGGTCCGCCTTAAAGGATGCACACAACCCAGGGGCAGGCAGCCCGTTCCCGGTGAGGAAGCAGGTCTGCACCGAATTTAACGCAAAGATCAGAATAATTCTTCCAACCTTTCATCTGTGACGGTAGCTCTTTCTTGTGGTAACTCCCACAGAGATGCGTGGGGTTTCCCAGTGACCCAAAGGGGCCCCGGGCAGGCCTCCCCCGGGCAGGCCTCCCCCGGGCTGCCAGGCCGAGAGCTCATCGCTATCCACCACAGCCCCTCAGCCCTTCCTGGGCAACTCGCTGTGAAAGGAAGCTTCCAGAATGCTGTCCGCCAGGCCTGAGGCAGCCTACCACGCCCTCTGCTTTAGGCAGGCCGGATTCTGGACAGTCTCCTTTAGACAGCAGAGGGTGTGCGAGTAGGCAAGCTGCTGAAAGCTTCCTTATTTTTTTAAAAAAATATATTTTATTGATTTTTTACAGAGAGGAAGGGAGAGGGATAGAGAGCTAGAAACACTGAGAGAGAAACATCGACCAGCTGCCTCCTGCACACCTCCTACTGGGGATGTGCCCGCAACCAAGGTACATGCCCTTGACCGGAATCGAACCCAGGACCTTTCAGTCCGCAGGCCGACGCTCTATCCACTGAGGTTAGGGCTCATCAAGGTTTGGTGGGTAATCCTCACCCAAGAATATTTTTCCCTTTTTTTTTTTTTTTTTTTTTTTTAAGAGAGAGTGGAAAGGAGGGGAGAGGTGGGACACACACAGACTGGTTGCCTCCCATACACGCCTGGCCGGGCCCGGGAACGAACCTGCAACCCACCCAGGTACATGCCCTTGACTGGGTCTTGAACCCCGGACCCTTCGGTGCGCGGGCCGACGCTCTACCCACTGAGCCACACAAGCCAGGGCTCGTCAAGGTCTGTTCTTCTAGATTGAACTGTGACGAGCCGCGGAAATAAAATATCGAACAGAAACGTCCGTGAACAAGCAATGCTGCCAGGACCCTCGGCGTGGGGTCTCTCTCACACACCAGCCCAATCGCCTCTGGTTAGAAACCAGCCCCTCTGCTCCACCCCGTGTCCCTTCTGACTCCAGACGGCGAGAAGAGACGCTTTTTGTGAGAAACAAGCAGTGGGTTTCAATTTCACAGGTGAAGCAGGCAGACATCCCCAAGAGACACACTGCCCCCTGAGGACTGGGGAACTCAGACACGCGGGGCCCTAACCCCGCAGCCAGGCGCCAGACAGCCCGGCCAGATCCTCCGCCGGGGGTGTCCCCCAAACTCCCCGCCACGCCACACTGAAGACGCTGGATGGAGGTCACCTGACAAGCAGCCGGTGCCAGGGGGCTCTCGGCCCTCCCTGGTCTCCCGTGACAGGTGCCTCCTGCTCCAGCGGGGCCGACAGAGACCACCGTGGGCCTGGAGCTGAGAGATCCGGAGCCGGAGGCTCACATAAACACGTCAGCCCCAAAAGGCTCCATCCCTGAGCCTCGTTTTACACTCCGAGCATCCTACTGTGATTCTCTCGTGCGCACGCTCTCAACTGGTGTTTCTGCCATCAGACGGATCTCGTGTCGATGTTACTATTTTTTTAAAAAAATATATTTTTATTGATTTTTTTTTTTTTTTTTTTTACAGAGAAGAAGAGAGAGGGATAGAGAGTTAGAAACATCGATGAGAGGGAATCATCGATCAGCTGCCTCTTGAACACCCCCTACTGGGGGTGTGCCCGCTACCAAGGTACATGCCCTTGACCGGAATCGAACCTGGGACCTTTCAGTCCGCAGGCCGACGCTCTATCCACTGAGCCAAACCGGTTTCAGCAATGTTACTACTTTATGACTGGCCCATCGGTAAGATCTCAGTAAGGGCAGAGGGGGTTCTTCCCCTCCCTGACACCCCGGGAGGAAGGAATGGAATTTTGAAGGCTGGCTGGACAACTTTTGGAGGAGATCCAAGAGATACGTTCTGGAGATGCCCTCCTCTGAGCTGGACAGCGGAGGCCAGGGGTGGGCTCGGGGGCCCTGCCACCTGTGCCCTCAGCAGGCCAGACCCCTCCATGCCCCTGCCTGGTCTGGTCCCCTGAGCATGCCTGGGTCTGGCTGAAGCTGGCACCAGGCACGTTTTAAGAGCTCTATGCTGGATTTTGGCAGGTCACCCGACCCCACCGTCTCCCCGAGTTTTTTTATTCAGACCCTGGAATTCTGTGTCAGTGAGAGAGCCAGGCAGGAGGAGGGGAAGTAATGAATGAAACACCAAAAAGTCTCAGGCCTGCTCTGGCCGGTGTGGCTCCGTGGTTGCACCAAAGGGTTTCAGGTTCGATTCCCAGCCACGGGATGTACCTGGGTTGCAGGTTCAGTCCTTGGTTCTGTCGGGTGCCTGTGCATTGGGTGCCAATAGCGGCAACCAAAAATGTCTCCGGACATTTTCAAAGGTCCTCTGGGCGAGAACCACGGCTTTAGACAGCTTTTTATTAACGGGCCTTTATCCCATCCCGTTTCTGACAAATACAATATCGCTAATGTGTTCTTGGACATACTTCTTTGTATGCATGAGCACTTCTAGAAGATTCCTGGAAGTGAAATTACTGGGAGAAAGCATTTTTACACTTAAGATTAAAATATATATATATATTTATTGATTTTTTACAGAGAGGAAGGGAGAGGAATAGAATTAGAAACATCGATGAGAGAGAAGCATCCATCAGCTGCCTCCTGCATACCCTCTACAGAAGATGTGCCCACAATCAAGATACATGCTCTTACCAAAACTGGTTTGGCTCAGTGGATAAGAGCGTCAGCCTGCAGACTGAAAGTCCCAGGTTCGATTCCGGTCAAGGGCATGTATCTTGGTGATGGGCACATCCCCAATAGGGGGTGTGCAAGAGGCAGCTGATTGATGATTCTCTCTCATCAATGTTTCAAACTCTCTATCCCTCTCTCTTCCTCTCCGAGAAAAAAAAAAATTAATAAAATATAAAAAAATTTTTTAAAAAAAGATACATGCTCTTGACCAGAATAGAACCTGGGACCCTTGAGTGTCTCTCTCACATCAAAGTCTCTCTCTCTCTCTCCCACTCTCAGTGGAAAAAACATTCTCAGGTGAGGATTAACACATAAACAAGCCTCAGGCCCAACTCCAAGAGGCTTTTCTGCAAAAGCCTGGGAGATGAAAACCATGTGTGTTTGAACGTCAGAGCCGTGAACGCTGAGGCTCAGGGTGGAGACGTTGTGGCGCGGAGAGCAGGCCCATAAATGGCTCTGCAGGCAGAGGAGTGCACACCGTTCCCCCCTTTGGCTGAATCCTGCCCTGGGGTGTAGGCAAATTTACCCCTGCCTTCCTGGTAAAGCCCCCACCCGTCACCACCAGGAAACAGCCCCGGTGCCATCTCCTCACCACCCACGGGCAGAGAACCTCACCCG